AAAACATACCTAACCAGCATATGCTGGTTTTTTCAACAGGGCTAGGCATTAGATGAAAGTAAAAACGGAACAAGACATGAAACCACAAAATGGAGAATCACGCGCTTAGAGGTAGTTTAAACATTTCATTTACTGACGAAAGTAGAAAAATAATAAACACTTCAAAGGCGACAAAGAAAGAGGTCTACACACCCAAAACATGTATTCACATATTTGTAAACACTTTTTCACAGCTCACTGGTTGTCTTTGTATTTATTCGCTTTAAAGTTAGTGGTTTTAAGACCAGTCGTTTTTAAGTCTTATTTGGCAATAAGGTACAAAAGTAACCAGATATTAAGGCACAAGTGACCAACTTAAATACAAATGATCTTTTTTTTTTTAATCTCTCTCAAAAGTCCAAGTAAAAATATCATGACCCATTTGCAACAAACCATTTAAAATTAAGAGGACTTTTAGTAATAATGAATGGATATCTGATCTGAATGGTTATGTTCAGGATAATATTAAGGCTCACAAAATTGTTACACCTCCCAAAAAATCTCAGGGTTAAAGACTGATCAAAGAATTTGAAAAATAAAATATGGAGAGGGAGCTTTGTAAACATGATGGAAAAAAATAAATAAATGCCACGTGAATCCTGCAAAAATTCATCCCTCCTGGCCAAAGTCCTCAGTGAACTGCTTCAGCTTCTCCAGATCCTCCTCGTTCACAGTGGGCTTGGTTTTCTCAAGCGACCTCAACATGTCCTCCTGAGACACGCAGACTAGAAGGTCAAAACAAGCTCTGGGAATTCAGCTTTTTTCCTCCTCTAGTTGCAAGCTTACCAAGCTGACTATCGGCTCCAGGAGTTTATCGCTCGCTGCATCCACCCAGGTCATCTGGATTGTGCCTGGGTCATTTGGAGAGCAGGGCGTTAAGAGGTCATCCACCACAACATCTGGGTTGTTCCATGCCTTTCCTCTGACCTGTTAAAACAGACATGAGAGGACAGATTCAGCTCGATTAGACACTTTACTAGGTGCGCAAACCAATGCAAGCTTGTTTCCACAATA